TCTCGTGTCTTTTTGTCTTAATAATGAGAGTATTTAATTAGCTTAAATATTTTCCATGTTTCAGCCTATTAATTAAAGTACTTAAGAACATTTCTTTCTGACAAAAACAAAATTTAAAACTGCATATAATTAGTGCTTGAATTTTAACTAATATGTGCAATTATTATGCTAAAGAAATTGAAGTTTCTGATTTATTAAAAGCAAAATGCAAGATTACAGTTAATAATAACCCAGATAAAGTTTTTGTAGCTGATTTATTAAAACCTAAACACAAGATAGTAGCTCATAATAATCAAGCTGAAGTTTCTGTAACTGATCTATTAAAACATAAGAGAGTAGCAAATAAAACTTCTCTAACTAATCTGTTAAAACGTAAAAAGATGGTAAATGAAGCCTCTCTATTAAAACCTAAACATAAAAAAAAAGCAGACAAAACTTTTGTAGCTAGTTGATTAAAATCTAAACACAAAAAAATGGATAATAAACTTTCCGTAACCGATCTACTAAAAAAGCCTAATAAGTGGTGTGTGTATATATGTAGTTGTAATCTATGCAATGGTGTAAAAGTTGATCCCATACTCAAAAGACTCATACAGAAGATAAAAGTTTGTGAAGTTCAAGTAAAGTACAAAAACGGCAACAACAAGTTGTTGCAACAAGATACCTAAAAATTTCTGAAACTCATTCTATTATCAAAAGGCAATCTCAAAGTATATCACCTGATAAGAATATTGCAGGCTATATTAATAATGATAATGATAATACTATGCCTTACGATAATAGTGGGCCATACAATAATATCAATATTGCACCTTTTGATAATGCAATTTATAATATGTTAAATGAAGATGCTAGACAAAATATATCATCAGATTTAATTAAAGATTTATTAATTTTTAAACCTAGAACTACATATTTTCATACTCCAAAATTGTTGGAAAATATTCAAGTACCTGATATATATAGTAATGAAAATGCAGATAACAGTAATAATAAATCAGGCAGTAAAGATGAATCTATTTCAGATAATTTTTCTGAGGATGAAAATTGGGAGCTAGATCAAGATATAGTTCAGAACAAAGAATTATTTAAATCACCTGATATTGATAATAACAAATCTTTTATTATAAATGATTTAAATGATTCTTTGGATACAGAGATCATATTGTGGTTATTTAAATTTCAACAAAGATATCAAGTAGCTGACGTAGCACTTGAATCGTTAATAAAATTTTTACAAAAAATTCTTACGTATACTGATAAATTACAATTTAAAGATTTTTCTACCTCACTATACATAGCAAAAAAATTCTTAGGAATCTTTTAGCCAAAGATGCATATGACCATATGTACTAGTTACCATAAGTTATACAGTACTAAAGATATTATTTTACATAAAGAAAATGAAAAGGCTGCAGTAATAAATTGTCAGCATGAAGAATATTCAAGCAACCCAATACCCAGTCTAAAGTTTAGAACCGGTTTTATTTTTAATATGTTAAAACCAGTTTTATTATATTAAAACTAGTTTTAACATATAAAAAATAAAACCAGTTCCAAACACTAACCCAGCCATCATAATAAGTGTAATAATGCACTTTCTACTCTTAAAAAATATAAGAAAAAAATAGTTGCAATACCTCACATGCTCTATTCCAAACCAAGTATCCAATAGTAACTGAATATATTATATCAAAGATCTGGTTTTGAAGACATGCTGCAACTATCAGAAACACCAAGAAATTCTGAAATTTGTTCAGATATTTACAATAGAAAAGTATAGCAATTATTTCCTTTTAACGGTAGCAAGTTTTTTACAAGAGAAACTTCATATATAAACTTGAGGCTTCTTTTTAATCTCGACTGGTTCCAACTCTTTAAATATACACAACATAGCACTGGTACTATGTATGCATCCATTTGTAATCTTCCTAGATCTGAGAAAAATAAACCTGAAAATATTATTTATCTGGGCTTTTTACCAGGCCAAAAGAAGTAGAATTGGAGTATATTAACTATTACTTGGCCCCTATTATAGATAAGTGCTTAGAATTATTAAAAGGCTAGAAAGTACTATGTACCTATCGATATCCTGATGGCTTGGATATAAAAGTTGTTTTAATAATTAGGTCTTTGGATATACCTGCTACACAAAAGTTGTTTGGTCATAGATCTGCAGTAATGAAATATTATAGATCTGAGAAGCATAGTACCTATAGTAAAGAATACAAAAAAA